ACGTCAAAAGTGCAAGATGGTGGCACCTGGGATATTTCACCTATTGTTTATAAAACGTGAGGAAGTCTGTCTTCATAGTTGGGGAGAGTGAAACCTCCTCATGGACTGACATCTGGATTACTGTCCAGATGTGGATTTACCTGAGTATGGTATCCCTATTGATTTTGTAGTAGATGTCAGAACCTCCTGTGATGGGCGTTGACTGCCTCAGTGCAGGAACGGAGATGCAACACTAGACAAGCTCTCTCACAGCGGATGTGTTTGTGTGTGTACATGTGTGTTTATCATTCTACGCATGAATTTTTGTGTTAGCGCACATCGAGGCTGATGCTAATGAAGCTGTCTGCCAACTTTACTACCGAGCAGATGTCTGTGCTCTCTTACGGCTCAGTGCAGCGCGCTGCGGTGGAGTGATTCATTAAGATGCTCTTCTTTGTTGTGAATCTGATTAAAGAGTTTGAATCTGAGGCCAAACCCAAACACTCAGTCGCACACTTTAGCACTTCAGCATACTTTTGCTGAAAGGGTGTGACGATGAATTGATCAGTGAATCAGCAGCAGGAACAGTGTGGCAGTACGTCTGAAGACAAAATGTTCTTGAAGTCAAATTGAGCTGAAATTGTCAGAAACTGGCTAAAACACGTGATCAAGTTGTTTATCTTGAGCTAAAGTAGCAGACGTTTGCTGCATGTTTTCGGTGCACGTCCAAAAGCAAATCTAAAAACTTGCGTTGTGCATTTTTCACTCATTTCTAACATTTATAGAACAAAGTCTTTTCATCCAGTCAAAACAAATTACGCTGTAATTGATAATCATCATAATTGGAGCCCTTGTTGATACACACGTCTGCAGCTTTGTCATTTTTTGGATAAACTTGACAATTTTCACTTCCTGTAACGCACTTGAATTGAAGTCCCCACAAGAGCAGTGAAACCTCCAGTCTCTTCTCTAGTGACAGTTGCAGTTGAGCACTGGTTATTACTCTCTGCAGGAATCAAATTTTTTCCCCCTGCCTATTTTTAACACAATCAATGTCTATTTCTGTAAATGACCCACGGTGCGCCTCTTCACACAAACGGCTCCTCTTGATATATAGTGTGCACGTCGACTTTTTATTTGTGTGTGTTACCTGAATAGATATCGATGTGTCTTATCATCTCAGCTCGCACATTTCTGTATCAGATATATAAGGATTTAAAATCGTTAAACGTTTAGCTCACTCTGGAAAAGAAGTGTATAATAGGCTTTCAGGATTTTGCGAGGATAATGTGCACTTCGTCAGAAATGTATTATTTCTTGCATCAATCTTTTTAATACTCTGTCTTCATAGACGCCTGAGTTTAAGGTATGCAAAGTGCAAAAAGGATTTCTGTGCCTGTAGTAAAGCGTTACAAAGAAGCTGTGATAAAACAGATGTTGAATCTGCACCTCTAACCTCGGATACTATTTTGATGAATGGTGAGAAGAATTAGCTGTGACTAACTGGTGTTTAATTAGACTACTACTCCTTCCTGGGGGTTGACAACAAGTTGGCAACACAACAACATTAGGGCCCCGCGGAGGCAATAAGCAAAGGTAAGAAAAAAAATAAGGCAGAAAGGAGCTGAACCTTAAATCACTGGGTGAAGTTATTGAGCTGGAGGATGTTAATCTCAGGCCTCTTCATATACGGGACGTGACTCAGGCCGTTTTCAGACAGACAGTTGGGTCCAGACTCTCTCCAGACTTTGCTTTTCCAAATATGAACAACATAGACGGAGATGGTCCAGGTCAGATGTGTTCACAACAGGAAATCCTCCACTCAAGTGAAGGGTGGCGTCTGAGTCGAGGATGCAGGAGGCAGAACATGCGTTTATGTGATGTTGGCTCTTGTCAGTCTCATTAGAAACGTCATCCTCAGCTGTTTTCTCACAAGGGCCCACTCTGACATTTTCTGCACCTTTTTCATTCTGGCATACAGCTTATACTCCTTTTTTCAGGAATTTCCAGAGTTCAGTGCAGGTCTGAAAAAAGCTTCAGTTACACGCTTCAGTTGCAATCTCTTTTTCTCTTCCTGCTGTTGGTCATTTTCTCTCATCTGAAAGTCCGGAGGCGACTGTATTTTGGGTCTGAGTACATTGGTTCCTTTTGCGCGTAACGTGATTGATCCGTCACGGCCAAAGGAAAGTGTGTGTGTGTGTGTCTCTCTCTTTTTCCCAAAAGTGATCACACAAATCAGCCCAAATTATAGTATTAACTCTCAGACGGTACTTGGAAGTGAAGCTCCGTGTTGGAGCAGAGGTCACGTTGAACACCTCTGAACACAGACAGTCAGCCTGAACGATAATGATAGCGGACTTCTCCATCACGCTCTGCGGGATCACTATCAGAAGTCACACTGACTTCTCCCATAATGACTCTTTGTCCAAGTGCGAAATTGTCTTGCTCCTTTGACACCCTAACACCCCACCATGGCATTACTGCTGCAGAGAATAGCCGACAGAGTAAGTACACCATTATTTCTTTGCTTTCACTTTCAGAGGGAGTGAAGCTTTGATTTTCCAGCTGAATAGGATGTGGTTACAGAGCAGAGATCGTCTGTTCTGACTTTGAATCAGATACTGAGCCACATTCAGTCGCATCCTCACGAGAGGTTGACGGATGTTCTGTAAAGAACCAGATTGATGTCCACTGTTTGTCTCTTTGGTTGCAATGAAAACACGTCTCTTGTCTTCTGACGACCGTGGGTCCTCCCCTTTCATGTTCCCTGCTTAATATGCCATTGATCTGTGGGGCAGGACAATGCAGAGCGATCACTGGTAACAAGAGAGCAATCTGCACGGGAGAATAGAAGCTTTGTCTTTGAAATGAAAGCCACAAAAGATGTGTTTCTCAAGTCTGAAAAGAAATTGCAGTCAAGAGACGGTATGCTGCAGTAAAGAGGTGAAGCTCGGTGAGGATTTAAGTATTTAAATTGCAGATTTAACATATGTTTGTCATTAACTGGGAGGAATGTTGGTTGGAATCATACCTGAATAAGAATTATTACATTTCCAGCAAAGCCTGCATCTCTTTTTTTTTTACATCAGATCAAATCTGTGTAATAAAACATCGTGTATCACATTTAGAAGCATTAAGTTGTTGCAGCTGAATAAGATCAGGCTCAAGAAATGTGTCATCTCTTGTATCTAATCCTACATTTTATTGTCCGTTCATTTAAAAGATTAGAAGGCTCAGCCGTGACATTTCCAGCGTCTCAACTCATCTGATGACAAGCGCGTTGCTCCGAAACGTCACCCGAGGTGCTAATCAGCTCCGCCACAGGAGCGTAGCTAGTGTGCAGAATCTGTTACTGTATGTCACCGAGCTCTCAACCCGCAGTATCACACTCTTTAGACGTGTTTGCATGTGCATGTGTTGTGCTTTTTTCACGGCTCACTGTGTGCGAGCTATGCTCACACCGAGCGCACATCATCTTCAAAGCCCGTATTGATTTTCACGACATTGATTTTACAGACGATATGGCTCATCAGGTGGGCGAGGTGAGAAGCTATTTTTGGTCCGATGTGCATGCGATGTGGAAATGGAGACGTCAGAGTGGAAGGGCCAGCAGCAGGATGTAGGTTTGTCTGTTAACAGCAAGAATAAACAAAGCTTCAACTGCTGGAAATGTTTCAAAATCACTTCAGAACTAAAATGACACTCAGGACATATCTCCTCCAAGGTCTCTCCTGATGTTATCCATCCTCTGCCCATTAATGAGTATCTGCTGCAAAATGTAATATTTTCTTCTTTGGTCTCAACTGTGCACAAAATGAAAACATCACCTCCCAGAAAAATTAGTTAAATTGCTTGAACCTCTACAAAATCATTTCCAAATTATGTTTAATTGCATCACATCTCTCTTATTATCAGTATACGTGTTCATTCGCTGGTTCACGTCTGTGAGCGAACACTGAAAAACTCTCCCTGCAGAAGACTCCCTCCCACAATCGGTGTCAATCTCGGGCTGGCCCAGTTCTCACACAATCATGCCCCACGGCTTATTCTATCCGTCCATCGACAAGCTTGATCTTTCCACCAGCGAGCCGATCGAGCCAGCTGCGTGGCTGCTGGCTGCGCAGTGTGTGTGTGTGTGTGTGTGTGTGAACCTGCGATGGTGGAGATAATTCTTGCGTATTTGTTTGGGTTTTGCTCGGCTGGTGGAGAGAGCTGCGATGGAAACACAATGCGGGGCCGCGGCAAAACATACTCCTCTTCCTGCATTTGATCTTTCAACACACAGAAAATCCACGGGCTTAGACCAGTTTTCACACAAGTGGCTTAGTTTAGATTTTATTAATAGCTCTTTTAATTCCAGTGGGACGTTTATTCGGAGTATAAATCAGTTGTTCCAAAGCTCCTCTGCCGGGCTGTCGTGCTTTACAGTAGATCCCTCCACACTTGAACAGGATTATGAAACGATCCCCAGTGACACCGACTGTGCTGCCCAGTGATGCTGCCCACCCCCCCCTCCCCATCCAGCTCCATCCACTGTGGATGATTTAGCCTGCCTGCTCCCTTGGGCGTAATTGATCCTTGTATCATTAACGTATGTGGATCTATCCAGGGAGACGCCCACTCTTTTGCTGCTAGTCCCTGCCCATTGAACCGTAGAGCCCAGTGAGCTCTGGGATTGTGGCTCCACCACAGGACTTTCTGCATGCACCAGTGGCTGTAATGTAAACTACGTTGTTATCTGCATGGGCAGGCCCTACAGATGTTTAGTCTAGCCATGGGGAGGAGGAAAAAGTGGAGCGTGGTGGCGCGGTCCCCCTTCGCAACCATAAGGGGCCGCCTGGGCCCCAGGAGGAAGGGCGTGGAGGGGCTGTGTGTGAGCAGCCTGCTGGGAGTCCTGCGCTCCCACACCTGGCTGATCGGGGAGGAGGAGGTGGCCTTGCTGCTGGCCGGCACCCTCCCGCAATGTTTCCACCAGTGCCGAGCTCAATCCCTGCCTTTCTCTTTCTGCTCCTTGTCTGTAGATGGTGGGAGCGAGGACTTGGCAGATGCCCGCTCGCCCAGTCTAGACCCTCACCTGTGCCACGTCGGCCAAGGTAAGCTAACAACACTTTCTGGAATACGTTTATCATGTCTCACAGATTCATGAGATTCAGTTGTGCCTGCAAAGTTTGAGCATCCCATTATTGTGAAGTGTACTGAGCCAGAGTCAGCTGTGAATGTGTGTATGTGAGTGAATCAGAAGCAAAATGATTGAGAACAAAAACACATACGCTGTTTTCCTCCTGATTTCAACACTTCTCTCCTTGCGGCCTCTTTCCAGACTTCATTTCTTCTCCTTTAATGCTTTCACAGAAGGAACCCGCGGAGGCCCTGTTTCCCGCGCTGTATTTTACTCGACTTCATAGCAGAAAAGTTTACGACTACTGGAATTGAAGTTATATTTACAGTGTATGAATTTTATAGTCTTGTAATTCTGTCTGTAAATCTCGAGTTTCTTCGGGGGGGTAATCGGCTGCTTTCAGCACAGCGGTGGATGTTTATCATCAGCGGGGGGATGTCAACGCGTGGCAGGGCATGTTTTGGGCAATTATAATTTCATTTCACCTTTTGTTTTCTTCCTCGTTGCCGAACACCTCGATGAGTAGGTGTTTGTGTTGATTTCGAGTCATGGAGGGGGATCTTGAACGAGGCTCTCATCGCCGTATATATAAAAGAAAAGACCATCATTTCCAAGTCCAAGTGATTTTTCCTCCCTCGCCACCTTCGACTAAATCACACCTTTTTGTACTTCAGCGTATCACAGCTTGAACAGGATGATTAAGAATAGAAACTAAAGTCAGCAATACTAAATATACCTCTTTGGCATCACTGTTGCTTTTAAGATGATCGTCTTCATGTGAAACGCTGGTAATTCCTTTACTATATTGAGAATATTTGCAGAATCCAATACTGGAATCCATTAAAATTAAGTTGGATCTCAACCACTGATAATTGCTGCCAGAATACCAAGGGGGGAACTTGGTATTCACACCACTCTCTGCATACATGAGGAGAATTTCCTGGCGGGGGGATGAAACCGCTGCTCTGGCTGCTGTTTTTGCTTTTTGCAGTGACATTCCCCAGTGAATGGGTGGACTGACTCCAGCACTGAGAGGGAGAGTGTGTGTGTGTGTACGTGTGTGTTGTGTTGAGTTCTTTCTTCCTTGTGTGCAATAGTGTCTGAACTCGTTTTGAATCTCCATCTCCAGACATCGCGCAGGCTTCCTGTGGGACTAGTGTCTGATAATGGCTCCATGTCTCACTGTCTGATGTGAGACTGTTGCCTGACCAGTTGGTTTTGCAGCTTCGTCTGCAGGGAGACGGGCAGCCGGAGCCAGAGCTGATTCACAAAATGGATGTTGTGTTTATAGACAGCTGGCTGGTTGTGTTCACTGGGGAGTGAGTGTGTGAAGTTTAAAAAAAAAAAAACCCTTAGTTGTCATGATTTGTGGCTTTTGAAGAGGAAGAGGAGGTGGGTGAGTGATTGAGAGTGGCTGTTTGTGCTCCGTCTGTAATTACTGCTCGTTGTCATTTTACAAATAAAATGCTCTCTCATAGTCATGGCTGCTGTTTACTCGGTTTGTTTAAACACATATTTCAGATGGTTCGAAAAGTCCTTTTTAATTACATTAGAATTGTGGGGTATTGTGTTTCTGTGGCGGTCAGGCAGTGTGTAGCTCATAGCTGTGAACGTAAACAGCCTGTGCTGCCTGCAGGGCTGTTCTCTCTTCTGGGTCACACCAATCTTGTTGCGCTCGATACTGGTGCTGCACCGAGATCAGAATCCAGGGAGCGGGCGGACGTACGCTCAGAATACTCATGTCTGTCGTTCAAACAGTTTCTACAGGGGCTCAGCAAACAGCAACACCCTGCAATCCGACAGGAGCCTTCAAATAAGCACTGGGATGCTCAGTCGTTTGATTATTAATTCATTAATTCATCCTTTGATTAACGTATCCTCAAATACAGAAGGGAAAGTAGCGTTGTAAACAGTAAACTGTTATTTTTACGACAGTTTAACTTCCTTTCCTTCTGTTAAGTCTTTCCAACTGTCTCTGTCTTTACATTTTTAGCAAACAGCACCTCACACTACATCTTGTCTTCCCTCCCGTCCCACAGGTGGCAGCATCGACAGCGACTGCGCCTTTGAAGGAGACTACGCGGTGCCGACGCTCTCCATGACCGAGGGCATGCAGCACATTCGCATTATGGAGGGCGTGTCCCGCTCGCTGCCCTCCTCCCCGCTGCTCACCCACCAGACCATCAGTGTCCGGCTGCAGCCTGTGAAGAAGCTCACAGGTAAAAGAAGAATTCACGCAGCATTTAAATTGCTTTTTCTAAATTTGGGTTTTGTTTAAAAGCTGATTTTGGGAAGAAACCCACAGCCGACAGAGATGTGAGCTGAATCTGGTTCAAATTTGTCTCGTACGCACGTCCCGTCCTCCCCCATGGGCTCACTGTACTAATTCACCCTCTCGTAACCCTCCACTCTGCCCCTGTGGGCTGTGGATCCAATCAGAGAATCACGCTCTGAATTAAAGCAGGTTTTATGAGTCAAAGTGAAGAGGAGTGGTTTGATTCGCTGATGTGCAGTAATCACTCACCGCAGAGGAAGCATGAAGCCGGGCCGAGCTGCAGCGTGTGGCAAACACTGTAATTTCCAATTCTTGTAAACACTAAAGTCCTGCTTAATTGACAGTGCCCAGAACAGCTGACGGACTGTGAGCTGTTTCTCTGCTTCCTTTTATTGCACTCAATCTCCCACCGCTAATCGTTTCCTTCCACACTCATCTCCAGAACACAGAAAATCCCCCTCTGTCTCCCCATTAACTGGATTATGAGTGTGTGTGTGTGTGTGTCACGCTCTGGTACTGTGGTTGAAGCTGTGGTCCGAGGCTCGCTGCTGAACCGGATTTCAAAATGAGAAATGAAATATTGACACTGCAGCTCTGCCTGTAATGTGAGCACAGCCTCCACAGTCGAGTGAGAGTGGGTGTAAAGG